CCATATATATATATTATTTAATACTAAGTAACATACATGTATCATACATATTACTATACACAGTGGCAGCTYGATGGGAGTATATTTGAATCATGWCTTATGGTTGGAAAAGGTAGACTGGACCATTTTTGCAAGTTGGTAATTTAAATATTAAATTATAAATAATAAATATAATATATTGCTGTAATGTGCACTCAGCAGATAATGTACAGTAATAACTAATAACTATATTTTAGGTTGGGTRGTGTAAAAATATTAAACGTGATTCAAGGGAAAAAAAGTTCAAGCCGTCACTGACTATACATATTCAAAGTATTAAGATTAAAATKTTAAGCTTTTATTCATTTATAGAATGGATATTGTATCATATTACATTCACATAATTTTTTGGTTGGTAGTATCGACTTAAAAGTTAATAGCTGATTTCCTTACTAATAAATCAAACTTAAAAGTAAAAATACTCTCTAAAGCCTAGGATGCATGGTATGTAGTATCTACTATCTTATACTGGAAGTGAAACAAATTATAATTATTCATTGGTCAGTTGGAATTACATTTTGATTGAGTTTATTTTGAATACACTGACTACACTGTTAAAAATGCCAAAAGTAACCATCGTGAAATACATTATATATAATATGATAAATGTATATATTTAGTAATATTGTATTTTTAGGGTATAAGACCGTTTTTATAAAATAACAATTTTTAACATAATATGCAATATTATATAAAATTAATATCAATAAAATAATATAATGCTACAAGGGATTTTTTTCCAACTACCATCAACGTGCCATCTGACATCTAGTGTTTTTGATATAMCTACGTATAGTCATAGGCGCTACTAGAGCTTATTTTATTTTTGGAGGGGGTGGGCGAGGGGCTATAAGTCAAAAGACAAAATAGACTTGTGGGCCTTGGGGCGTCATTTACTAATTTAAATGCAGACAAAATTATTTATCAATATTTAATATAGATTCTATTTAAATTTTAGTAAGGCTAGCCCACCCCCACCTCACTGCAAATAAATAAGCCACCGTAGTTGACATTAATGTTACTTATATTCAAATTCAACTCTATAATTTAAATTTTATTTTAATACAAATTTTATAGTAATAGTACAACAAAGTAATAACCTTTTAATGATTTTTAAAATATCTTCTAACTTAATCTTCTAATCTTTTAACTTCTAACAAAATCATTAACGTAGTCAAAAATACAAAACTATGTAGAAAACCCATTGTTAATTAATTAACTGTCTATGAGTTTATATTGAATTAATAGGATTTTCAAACTTGATAATTATTTCATTTAGATATAGATCATTAGATTGTATCACAAAATTCTAAAATACAATATTTTTCATCTTTGGGGGAGGAGGGCAAAGCCCCTCCCCCTAGTTGTTCCTTTGGTATACCCTGACTTCGACTTGGAAAAGATGATTAATTGATGATAAATGAAGGCTTATACTAGCGTAACTCGATTTTCGGGTTACCCATTTTTGATTGTAACACGTCAGAGTGTAGTTCACTAATATGACAGAAACTTTTGCAGAATTGTACTCAACAACTTCCAAAAATTTCATGGTGATTGGATAGTTTAGGTTAGGTTAGAGTTTTATAATATAGAAAACTTATCTGTCCCCTGTAAATAATTCCTCCATTTATATGATTTAAACATTATGTTACAGTTACTTAAACACCTTCGTAGTATTGTAATATTCAAAACTGAAAATAAGACTATTAAGTTTAAGTTTAATCTTTATTTGATTTTTAACACGTTAATTATAATATTGCACATTTATTAGTACTTACCTATACTTAAGACTGTGTTTATTTCTGTAAATGCTACGCCTGATTTGTGAATTTAAAAATCTCGTTATTTTATTTTATTTTTATTTTACCTAAATAGCGTTTTTACGCTATTATAAAAACTCGGTGTAATATTCCCCTGACTTTTTTTTATCTATTAATGACTGATTTTTTGCAGTAGGAACATTGTTTTATTTATTAGATCCAAATCCAAAAATTATAATGTATTCAAATAAACCATGTCATRTTAATTTTTGCCAGTCGATTTATCATATCATAATCTTCATTATAGATTCTGAACAGTTATTTTAATAGTTCTGTCCAAACAAAAAAATATGGGTCTAAAATTGTTTCAATCACTAGCTGATCCCAGTGCACTTCATTGCCCATTATTAAAACGGACTCTATGATCCAACATTTTTGTTTAATTCATCGTTTATACCCAGGTAATTGGTGCCTAATAACTAATTGCTAATTTCTTATTCATCCATACTAAATTGTCTAAATTTTATAACAAATAGCAACCATATAATAAACAAAATTATATTTAATAATACTCAAACCTCTATGGTCTTCAACTATGGGGTACAGCAAAAGCGTCCAATACTAAAAAAATTCAACAATTTCAGAATATTGCTCTTCGGAAAATTACTAATGCTCCACCCTTTGTTTCGAATTACACTATACATAATGACCTGTCAATTAAAACCGTGACAGAAGAAGCTATACGTTTCTACAAAATTATTCATGCCCGGCTGGAAACACACCAAAACCCACTCATTAAAAACCTATCCACCCTAACATTACCTGGCAACCCCAAGCGTTGATTAAAAAGGAGCTGGTGCCGTGACTTGCTAGGGAACTAATATCAAAAAAAAAAATAAAAATAAAAAATCAGTATATATAAACATAGCTAGTTTTATACAACCTCCAGTCAAGTGCCATTAGTGGGTGGCTTCTTACTCATGTATTATATGTAACCCTTATCAAATATGCTAATTGTGCATAATTGTACAGATTGTATATATTATTGTGTAAATAAAAATAATAAAAAAAAAAATATATTTAATATTATTATTATTATTATTATATTTATTATTTCTATAAAAAATCTCAAATATGCAATAAAAAAATTAAGGGCCAGTTGTCAAGATAAAATATAGACTATAAATTCATGGGATTGTGTAGCTTTCTGATACTAAAAACATTAATCAGTTAAATAATTCCAGATAATTAAACCAATCATACGAACAATTTTTCTTCTTTATATTTTATAACCCTTTTAACCCCTGTAGGGATTTAATTCTGAAAAATCCTTTCTTAGTGGGTGCACACATCACAACAAAATAAATACTGTCCAAATTTCATACTCATAGTTCAGCGGTTCCGGCTAGGCGATGATGAATCACCCAGGACAAATAATTTTATATATATAATTGTATAGATAATAACATTATAACACTTACACTTTMTGTAACAATACATATAATTAACAAAAATGTATTATTTGTTTGTGAGCTAATTGCTAAATATTGAATTTTTGTGATATTTTTATCTTCATAAGGATTTATAATTTATTTTTCAAATAAATACAGCCATTTTTACTTTTACAGTCTTTAGCTTTGTAATGAAATAGCATATAAAATAATAAAAATTAAGAATTTTTGAAAATGGATAAGTAGTTTTTGTGTTTATCCATCATAAAAACAAATTTACCACTTTTTAATATGAGTACAGATTATATAAAACCAACAATTATTTGTGGCATCAATATATATATATAAAGATATAGACTATACATTATGCATTTATACACAATACATTAAAGCTATGTTCTGCATAGCTGCTCGATGATATTTTCAAAACATTTCATTTTATGCTAATGGCTATTGTCTATTTATAGGTATTAGGTTTTTGATACCAAAAATCTATTCACAGCGTTCTACGTTAGTCCTAAGTCGGCATTGAGTATTGACTAACTATAATTATTATTTATTATGTGCTATTGTTATAATAATTGAATCCAAATGGTAAAATATTTTCAATATTTGGTTCCATCGGAATAAAAAATGTACATTAAATATACCATAGTATATTAGGTACCTTCTTTTGTTCCTAGTAAAGTGTCTTATTATAAAATTATTGTTTTTATTAAAGAAAAAAATTTGTCAAGCTATATTTACAATCTATTGATAAAGCACAATATATAAATTGGATAATTTATAGTAATAAAAAGATGAATTGGTTGACTTAAGGAGGAAAAACCGTCTATTAACAATACCTCCTGTTTAATTTGGTAGGTTCATATAACGGAGACCGTTTATTTATTTTTTATTTTTTTATGTCAGGGAAGGTAGTTTCTTGGCCATTTTTCTTTTAATCTTCTTGAAGGGTTGCTGGGGATGGTGATAGAGGACATATGAGAAATAAGAGGGTTTTGGTTTGAATGGAGTTTTGAGTGGAATTGTTTATAATGCCGAGTTGCTATTTCATTGATTATTGAGATTTGTAGATCCTTTTGCAATGTGTTGTTGGTTATATACCATGGGGCTATGGTTATTTGTCTGAGACATATGGCTTGGCCTCAGATTAGGATACCGTAAGACCAAAGAGGGGCAATAACCCTCTTGTATATTAATATTTTGTTTTTMAAATTCTTTAAAGGAGATAGTAATAGATGAAGGAGACGGAGGAGTGTGGTTGATTGTTTTATTTATGTTTAGTGTGTTGGGCCCTGGTGAGTCTTTTGCCCTGATAAACTTCTATAAAATTATAGTTGAAAATTAAAATGATTTGGAATAATATGGAAACTAAAACTGTGTACTTAATGTCACAATTTCACAGAACATTGGGTATACATTTTAACAGATAGGTAACTGATAACAAGTGTTGTAGCTACAAATAGCACTATACACTATACCCACTTATACTTATTCATTAAAAAAATATAATTATTGTGTAAAACTAAAAAAAATATAGGTACTCCCAACATTTTATAACTTTTATCACTAATCTTTTTATATTGATAAATTTATACAGATGGGACTTAAAATAAATAATAATTTGTTTGATTTTTCCAAAAATTAGAAATAGTATATGTTTATTATTTAGAGATTATGTTGAGAAACTAGTTTATTTTATAGACAATTTTTACCTACAACTACAGTATATTRGTTTATTTTTCAGTGTGTTACTGTGGGAAATCGGAACGAATAGTACCATGTACTTCAGAGAATGCCATGGTGGTGTATTATAGCTGTGGAAATCTGTGTAAAAAAAAATTGTCTTGCAAAAATCACTTATGCCAGAAACTGTGCCATGTCGGTCAATGTGACCCTTGTATAGCTTTATCTGTTAATAGATGTCCATGTGGAAAACGGCCATTGACAGAAGATGAACTTAGTAACCGTACATTATGCATACAACCAGTACCCACGTGTGACCAACCATGTGGAAAGCCTCTAGAATGTGGTCCACCAGGTATGTGTTATATGAACATGTATTGCCATTTTACTAACTAATTTATTGTACCTATTTATTTATATAGAAAGTCCGCATCTATGTGAACAAACTTGTCATGAAGGCCCATGTGTTCGCTGTGAACTTAAAACCAAATATGTATGTAAATGCGGTAGTAGATCCAAGGAAATAAAATGTAATTCTGTGACTACCGAATTGACTTGCAAAAAGAAATGTAATAAGGTAAAATCATTTTTAATGTAATCAAGAGGTGTTCTTTTAAAGTTAAACATTCATAATTAATTGCTGTTAGTTTTTATCTTTATTAAATTAATATTCTTACTCAGTTTTAAATTTCTTTAATTTATTCTCCAATTAAAAAGAAGTCACCTCAAAAATGTTGCCATTTAAAAAAAATAAATAAAAAATAAACCAAGACCTAGATAAATTTTTTTATAGTCAATAAGTTTCTAAAATCTAGACTTGCAAATTGGCGATTTTTTATTTTTTATTTTCAAAAATATTTATTAAAACAAAAATTATTTCATTTGTCAATTMTTCTTATTATTATACTTCATGAGATAATTATTAATATTATAGTTAATTTTTTTTTTAAATGTATATATTATTAAATAGGTATTTGTTAAAAAAATTTATTCTACACTTTACCAGAACCTAATTCAAAAATTCTAAAGTTTGGAATATGAACCCTAAGTGTATGTCTAAGATAGATATTAATTATTTGTTGAATGTTTTATATGAAATTATATTTTTTGGTTCTTAGATGATGTCTTGCGGTAAGCATAGATGTATGGTAGTATGTTGTAATGCACAAGAACATATATGTACCAGAACTTGTAATGGACTATTAAATTGCCGCCAACATCGTTGTGATCGTGTTTGCCATCCTGGAAGCTGTTCAATGTGCTATGAAGCAAGTAGGTGTAAATATATAATCTGCAATCATTATTTTATGTACTATGGATGTAACTTATTTAAGTATGAAACTACTAATAATGCCTTAGAGGAATATCATTTGCGAATTTGCAATCTTCAAATATCTTATATGATATTATTTTAATCAACTTATTTAAATAATAATATACTATTTCAAGGATCAGCTTAATATATTGTTTGAAAAGTTTTTTTCTATATTTATCCATGAAGATTAAAATTTTTCATTTAATCACATGTGTTGACGTTGAGGAATGGAGGTTCAAATTTATATTTATTATTAATATGCTTGAATACAATAATTATACCAAGTTCCTATAAATGCATGGAATGTCTATACTTAATAATTTAATATAATGTCACCACTTATTTTTTGGATGATTTCTCTTTTTATAAAATCAATTGTATGGTTGCTCTCTATACACTAAACATTATGAAACATGTTAAATAATATTAAGTGAATATTTGTAGTAAAAAATAAAATATAAATTATTAATATAAAATACAAAGGTAGATTAATAAGTTGGATTTCATTCAAATATTGTTCTTGTATTTTTCTATGTATAAATAAATATATCTGAATCTGCTCTACTTTATTCTAAAAATTTTTAAATTGATATTGATTTATTTTAATAGGTTTTGAAGAGTTGTATTGTCGATGTGGCAATAGTTTTATTTCTCCTCCTATCAGGTGTGGTACTCGTCCACCATTATGTACATTACCTTGTTCACGAGAACATGAATGTGGTCATACAGCTACTCATATATGCCATGATGAAGATGAATGTCCTCCTTGCCTAGCTTTGACTGAAAAATTGTGTTATGGTGGTCATGAGGTATAAATTACAATAAATTATTGACAATGTATACCATTGTACATATTTTTTTTTTTTTTGCTATTTAGTTGCGGTTTGCTATACCATGTCATATAAAAAATGTATCATGCGGAATGCCTTGTGGCATTCTACTTCCTTGCAAAAGGCACACTTGTACCAAACCATGTCATGCACCACCATGTGATACAGGTCCATGTCAGTTACCATGCAATTTACCAAAATTGGATTGCAGCCATCCATGCTCAAAACCTTGTCATAATGGTCCATGTCCACTAACAGCATGCAAAATAATGGTAAAACTGTTTGATGTTATAATAATTTAAACATAATTCATAATGATTCTTTCTAGGTAAGTGTTAGCTGCATTTGTGGGAATTTGACAGAAACTAGGTTGTGTTCTGACCCTAAGGTGATTGAATATCGTCTTCAAGTTAAAGCACAGTCAATGAGCTTGCTAGACAATATTGTTGACTCATCGCCAATCATAAAGTCGTATAAAATGTAATGTATTTGTTGAATATTTATAATTCTAGAATTAATGAATTAAGTTTAAAATTTTTAGTCTGGAATGTACAACAGAATGTGCTAAATTAGAACGAAATCGTCGTATTGCCCTTGCACTTCAAATCCGCAATCCAGATTTATCTCCTAATGTCACTCCACGGTATTCAGATTTCATGAAAGATTTTGCAAAAAAAGATGTATCATTCTGTAATTATGTCCATGAAAAACTTGCTGAATTGGTCACTAATGCTAAACAAGTAAGTGTAATAATTAACTTGTAAACAATTTAAGGTTATTGGTAAATTGCTATGTTATTAGTCTAAACAAAATTCTCGAAGTCATTCATTTGAAGTAATGAAGTATGAAAAGCGGAAATTGGTTCATGAGTACAGTGAACATTTTGGATGTGAATCAGTAGCTTATGACGCTGAACCAAATAGAAATGTTGTTGTTACAGCTCTTAAAGAAAAAGTAATTTTCATTGAATATTTAATTATTTCCATAGGCGTGTCCAGACCTCATTTGCAGGTCATCCACAACAGTGGCATTTCTAGGGGATGGGGAAACTGCCAATCCTCTCCCTCAAAAAAAAAAAATAAAAATTTCTTTTAAGATTTGGGGATATAACCCTGAATCATACACATGATGAAAAACAAAAAATTTAATATTAAATTAGAAATTGAAAAAAAGGTTCATATTATGCATCAAAATGTACAATGTAAGTTGGATCAAATTTGCTGGTCATGCCTCCTGTGCATGACAGGAATGACCTGTGGATACGCCTATGATTATTTCCATTTTTATGAATAGTTGTTGTTCATTTAWGAAACAAATAAAATTTGTTTTTTTAATTTTACATAATAAATTGTTCTGATTTTTTATAGTCCTGGCTTCCCAATTATAGTGTGGTCGAAGTTGTTCAACGTGAAAGCGGGTGTCCACGAGTTAACCCATTTGCAAGTATTCAAAAACGAAACACTGTTATTCTGAACAAAAAATTCTGAGATCATTAAACATTTTGTTTTTTAAATCAATTGATTTTAAAACTACCTTAACAATAATTCAAATAGGTTATTAAATTTACATAATTTCATATTAAATATATAATATATTTTGTTTTCTTAGAGTATCATATTTATGGGTAATGGATAATTGATTAAATATTATTTGTTTATTATTACATAAATATATTTTGGTTCTTTAATTGACTGTTTAAAAGCATTATTTTTTAACCTCTTTTGCTATACAAGTTAATAGTGATCTAGATTATTAAGACAAATAAAAATTCATTATTACAGTAAAAGTTCTAAGTTTTTTTTCTGGTACCTAAGMAATTAAAGCTTAGGTAGGAGTATAATATTGTGTGTGATTAAAATAATACAATGTTATAAGACAATTCTTTGCCTTATATAAATTTGTATTACTTAGTATTAATCATAAAAATATTTGACACAATAACTTATCAAGCAGTCTATTTGAATTGAGATTTAAAAAACATATTATTACATATTAAAATTATTTGTTTCAGCAGTTCCCAACCTACTTTYTTGCATATCCCAAAGTTAAATATCTTACTAGTTTTCAATTTTAATAAAAAATTAATTAACAACAGACAATTCTCTACTTATTCAATTCTAAATGCACAATAAAATAAACATATTAAACCAACAGAACACTATAACTCATATCCGAGGACCGAGAGGCGCGTAGACCAAATTCGAACTGAAGCGATATGTTGGCTCCTTACAAAAC